GCCCGATACGGAGCCCGGCTCGGGGACGCAGCACCGCAGGTCCCGCTGCTGCCCGAACGCTGACCTCGGCCTCGACGGCGTCATAGGCCTGTAGGCTTCCGCCTGCCCGGACCTCCCAGCTCCCCGCCCGTGTATACATAAATGGCCCAGGTTTGTGCCCGGCTCAGTCTGCTGCTCGCTTTGCACGTGGGAAGGGGCGATGCGGCAGGGGGACGGTGCAGTCCAGGTGTGCCACCTGAAGCCCTGGTCGATGGCAGGCGATGGGCCTGGGGGGGCACGATCCAGCTCTTTTAAGGAAGCCGAGAGGTAAGGGTCACTGCCCGGCTCAGGGCCCCGGCCCACGGCCCCTCACTCATCAAATACTGACAGCGCCCCCGCCTGCCGGGATGTGGTCCGGGCCATCCGCACCCTCGGCCAGAGCCGGGCCGGGCAACTGCTGCGCGGTGGACTTCAGCGGCCTACCCTGACCTCCGGAGGAAGTGGAGTCCTGGAGGGAGAGGGCCCCTTCCCCCCAAACGTGTGCCGTCTTGGTGGCGCCCCGAGTCCGGGTACGAAGTTCGGTTAAGCCCACAGGCGCCCAAGGGGGACAGCACACACAAATCATTTGGAGAGGTGAAGCCGGAGAGCGGCGGCACGGGCGTATGTACATCGTCTGGGTTGACGACAGGCGGCCCCCTGGAGTGGGACCCGCAAGTAAATTGAACCGGGCCCGGCTTCACCTTTTAAAGCCTCCAGATGGGCGGGACGTGTATTAATCATCCGGGTTGGGGGCGGGCACACCTGTATGTAAATCACCTGCGCTGGGGGCGGGGCCGTGCCGCAAGGCCCCCGGGGGGCGGGCACACGTGCATGTAAATCACCTGCGCTGGGGGCGGCTGTAAACCCCTTGGGCTGAGGATTGGGCCGAGCTTTCGCTGGGGACCGAGCTAGGTTTCGAGGCGCCGGGCGAGGGCGAGGGCGAGGGCGAGGGCAGGAGGGTTCCACTGGCCAGTGCTCGCGCGCGGCCGGGGCGTGGCCGCTGGCGC